TAGAATTAATTTTTTTTTTGAAAAATTTTAGTTAAATTTTGTTTGAAATTATTTTAAGATTTTATTTTCTAAGCATTTAATTGAAGAATTTTCGATGAATCGAAATTTCGTAAAATTGAATTTAAAAATTATCAAGAAAATTTTGTAAATATTATTAAAAATAAAAATAATTGATAATTGAATTCTTTCGAAGAATTTTAATAAAATTTTTTTAAATAATTACATTTTTCGAAGAATGTACTTAAAATTGAATTCAAAATAATAAAAGAAATCCTGTGAAGAATTTTATTATTTATAGGAGAATAATTGAATTATTGCAACAAATTTTATTAAATTTTTTTTAAATAATTGAAATCCTATTAAAAATATTATTTTTAAAAAAAATTGAATTTCTACAACGAATTTTATTCCATTCTTTTTTAAATTTTATGGAAATTGAAATTATTATAAAACATGAAGATATTAATCACTCCGAGTGATTGATATCTTCATGTTTTATGATAATATTTTTTTAGGTTGTAGAATTTCATAAAGGCATGAATTTAAAATTTTTTTAAAATCTTAATTCCTATAGAGTAATAATAATGATTAAATATTTTTTTAAAAAATAATTTATTACTGTTTTCGAGTAATTTTACAATTAAAAAAAATTCGTAAATAAATGTAATAAAACATTTTTTTTTAGTTTTAAAAATTTGGGAATGCTGATAAAATATGGGCAAAGGAAAAATTAGATTTTTTAAGTAAAACTTTGAGTTTTTGGCAAAAATCCCGAATCTTTTCATTTCATTTTTTAAACCAATAGATTTCATCACCTTGTCTCCTATTCTAAGAGAAGAAATCAATAAAAGAATGTAAATAATTACAAGTTTGATATGATCGGAAGATAAAACAGCAAACAGCATGAAAAACATATAAAAAAGAACAATAAAAATAGCAAAAAGAAAAAAAATGAAATGACGAAACTCGCAGATTTTCAGTTCATGTCGTAAACTTTGGCAATTTTGGATGACTCAATAATAAGATCGGTTGACCGATCAGAGTTGCCATTTCGTACGGCAGAAAGTACATTTAGCTAAATCACGTTTGGAGAATGCGGTTAAGCGCAACGTTCGACAACGAGTAGCCATAAATTGTGCACAAACACTAATAGTGTGGGTGCAAGGAACCAAACCGCATTTTATCGTGAACGAAAATACCCAATGTCTGTAAGTCCAATTGTATTATGTCAACTGTTCAAATCGTGTAATTATTTCAAGAAATTTACGAGCCATTCTCCTTCCATTTATTATTATATATATACGTGAAATGTAAAATTTCAATTTAAAAGAATATCTATATTATGTGGAGGGAGGGTCAAATTTTATTTTCCAAACAATCTTTTATAATTATTGGAAGAATTTAATTTTCCTTTAGACATAATTTTTCAAATTAAACTATACAAATTGATGAAAATTTGAATGTCAAAACGAGGAGCATTGACCATCACCCTGTCTTAGTCTTGGTCTTAGTCAAAGCCTTAGTCTTAGTCATAGTCTTAGTCTTAGACAAAGTCTTAATCAAAGTCTAAGTTATGATCTTAGTCAGAGTCTCAGTCACCGCCTTAGTCAAAGTCTTAGTCAAGGTCTCAGTCTTAGTCATAGTCAACGTCTTAGTCAAAGTATTAGTCAAAGTCTAACTCAAAGTCTTAGTCAAGGTCTCAGTCAAAGTCTCAGTCTTAGTTATAGTCAAAGTCTTACTCAAAGTTTTAGTCAAAGTCTTTGTCGGAGTCTTAATCGAAGTTTCAGTCTTAGTCAAACTCTTAGTCAAAGTCTCAGTTTTAGTCTTAGTCAAAGTCTTACTCAAACTCTTAGTCAAGGTCTCAGTCAAAGTCTCAGTCTTAGTTATAGTCAAAGTCTTACTCAAAGTTTTAGTCAAAGTCTTTGTCAGAGTCTTAATCAAAGTTTCAGTCTTAGTCAAACTCTTAGTCAAAGTCTCAGTTTTAGTCTTAGTCAAAGTCTTACTCAAACTCTTAGTCAAGGTCTCAGTCAAAGTCTCAGTCTTAGTTATAGTCAAAGTCTTACTCAAAGTCTTTGTCAGAGTCTTAATCAAAGTTTCAGTCTTAGTCAAACTCTTAGTCAAAGTCTCAGTTTTAGTCTTAGTCAAAGTCTTACTCAAACTCTTAGTCAAGGTCTCAGTCAAAGTCTCAGTCTTAGTTATAGTCAAAGTCTTACTCAAAGTCTTTGTCAGAGTCTTAATCAAAGTTTCAGTCTTAGTCAAACTCTTAGTCAAAGTCTCAGTTTTAGTCTTAGTCAAAGTCTTACTCAAAGTTTTAGTCAAATTCTTAGTCAAAGTCTTAGTCAAAATTTACGTACACAATTAACGGTGCACTCATCATCTCTTGAATCAAAAACATCTGAAAGGTGCTTGAGTAATGAATGCTGCACCTAAATTGTGTTTATTGTTTTTAGGTGAAAAAAGTGTGACCTACAAATCTAATTAATTACCTACAAGCAGACTGTCACCCCCAACCAATGGAGGTGACTTCATTGAGGTATTCAATCAATTAGCATCAACCAGTTAAGGTAAAATCATTCGATTTCCCAATCAATTAATATGAGACGTAATTGATTGAATATCACAATGATCTTCCCTTCACTGTTCGGTCATAACATTTCTAATCTTAATTAATTGTTTGTTCTTGATGAGGAGGGCAATTTACTGACACGTAACGCTCTGTTTATAAGGATGTAATGAACAATGATTTTAGGAAAAAAATAATCATTACGATAATAAAGTAAGTTACGTAATTTAATTTCTACTTTCAATTTCACCTAATATTTTCTTTCACTTTCATTTTCACTCTAAATAAATTTTTATTTTTTTCTTTCAATTTCACTTTTACTGATTTCAACTTTTACTTGCATTTTCACTTTCTTTCACTTTGACAAATTTTAATTTTTTATTTCTTTTATTTTAATTTTTACTTTCAATATGACAGAATTCTTTTTTACTTTCAATTTTTATTCTCATTTTTAATTTCATTTTCATTTTGATAGAATTTAATTTTCACTTACATATAGTTTTATTTTGATGTACTCTTATTTTTATTTTAATATATTTTTATTTTCACTTTCATTTTCATTTTCACTTTGACAGACTTTTATTTTCTCTTTCTATCAAAGTGAAAGTAAAAATGATATTAAAAATAAAAATTCAATAACAAAATGCAAATGAAAGTAAAAATAAAATATCTACCAAAGTGATACTCGTGATAATGCAAGTGAAAGTGAGAATAAATGGGAAAATAAAAATCTTTCAAAGTGAAAGTGAGAATGAAAGTGAAAATAAAAATGTGTCAAAATGAAAGTAAAAATGAAAGTGAAAATAAAAGTAAAAATGGAAAAAGGTGATTAGGTAAATTGGGACTAATTGAGATCCCTGAGAAATTTATTTAAAGCAAAATTGAAGTGAAAAATAATTAAAAAATGAAGTGCAAATAGAGAGAAAAGTGACTTTACTTTCTTTTCACTCTCACTTCACTTTGACTTGACTTTCACTTGACTTTCAATTTACTTTCACTGTCACATTATTTCTGTTGAATTTAACTTTATTTACATTCCAAATTTTCATTCTACTTTCATTGCTCTTTCACTTCAGGAAGTCGATTCTGTAACTTCACTTCAATTCACTTTCCCTTCACTTCTTTTTCACTAAACTAAACACTTTCACTTTCACTCTCCCTTCTCTTTTACTTCATTTTTATTGAATAAATGAGATAAATTAAATTCAATAAAAATTAAGGAAAATAAATAAATTATAATTCTAAAAGTGAAGTGAAAGTGAAGCGAAAGACAAATTTAACTTAATTGAGAGTGAAGTGAGAGTAAAGTGAAGGTGAAATGAAAGTGTTTATTAAACGTGATTTTCACTTCACTCTCACTTCACAATTACTTCACTCTCAATAAATTTAACTTGATTTTCACTTCACTCTCACTTAACTTTCACTTCATTTTTATTGAATAAATAAGTTAAATTCAATAAAAGTGAAGTGAGAGTGAAGCGAAAATCAAGTTAAATTTAATTGAGAGTGAAGTGAGAGTAAAAGTAAAGTGATATGAAAGTGTTTATTGAACGTGATTTTCACTTCACTCTCACTTCACTTTCACTTCATTTTTATTGAATAATTAAGATAAGTTAACTGCAATAAAAATGAAGTAAGAGCGAAGTGATAATCAAGTTAAATTCAATTGAGAGTGAAGTGAAAGTCAAGTGAAAATGTTTATTGAAAGTGATTATCACTTTCACTCTCACTTCACTTTTACTTCCTTTTTATTAAAAAAATGAGATAAGTTAAATTCAATAAAAATTAAGTATAATAAATAAATTATAATTCTTAAAGTGAAGTGAGAGTAAAGTGAAAGTGAAGTGAAAGTGTTTATTAAAAGTGATTTTCACTTCACTCTCACTTCACTCTCAATTACACTTAACTTGTATTTAACTTCACTCTCACTTTAATTTCACTTCATTTTTATTGAATAAATGAGATAAGTTAAATTCAATAAAAATGAAGTAAAAGTAAAGTGATAATCAAGTTCAATTTAATTGAGAGTGAAGGGAAAGTTAAGTAAAAGTAAAGTGAAAATCACTTTTAATAAACACTTTCACTTTAATCTCACTTCACTCTCAATTAAACTTAACTTGATTATCACTTTACTTTTACTTCATTTTTATTGAATTTAACTTATCTCATTTATTCAATAAAAATGAAGTAAAAGTGAAGAGAGAGTGAAGAGAGAGTGAAGTGAAAATCACTTTTAATAAATACTTTCACTTCACTTTCACTTTAATCTCACTTCACTCTCAATTAAACTTAACTTGACTTTAGCTTCACTCTCACTTCACTTTTAGAATTATAATTTATTTATTTTACTTAATTTTTATTGAATTTAACTTATCTCATTTATTCAATAAAAAGGAAGTAAAAGTGAAGTGAGAGTGAAAGTGAAAATCACTTTCAATAAACATTTACACTTGACTTTCGCTTCACTCTCACTTCATTTTTATTGAATTTAACTTATCTCATTTACTGAATCAAAATGAAGTGAAAGTAAAGTGAGAGTGAAGCGAAAGTCAAGTTGAATTCAAAGGCAAGTGAAGTGAAAGTAGAGTGAAAGTTTTTATTTTAGTGAAAATGAAGTGAAGGGAAAGGGAAGTTAAAAGAATAGACCCCTCGAAGTGAAAGTGCAGTGTGAAAGTGAAGGTATAATAAAAAAGGATTGAAATGTGAAAGTAGAATGAAAGTGAAAGTAAATGTGAAGTGGAAAGTGAAAGTGGGGTGAAAGTGAATGTGAAGTGAAAATGGACTGAAAATGGGGTGAAATTACATAATCGATTTAAGTAACTTGTTATTGAAAGGGATGCTGTGGGGTGATTAAGCATTAAGGACATGTTTTATATGCTGACTGTATGAAAATAATCCCTATAAATGCAATATGATGAATTGACTTCAGATCACAATGTTCATACCTTGAGCGTTCTTAACTCTTTTTTTATGGTAAGAAGATTTCTTCTACTGCAAATTTTCCCGAATCGTCGTTAAAATAAACGTTGATAATAAATTCATAAAAATATAAAATAGGTTCAAAAGGAAAAATTGTAAAATTTGTTTTTCATATTCTTCCTTTTTTTTATAATATACAAAGAGATTAGACATAAAAATATCCCCTAATGATCTTAAAGCTTCACAATCTTCAATTTTTTTTTTCTTTTTCGTGCAACGTCACTATGTATATATATGAAAAGAGACGTTCCTCTCGTTAACGTCAAGGTCACGTCGACATTGCAGAATTTTAATGGTACCCAGAATGAATCTCGGAGATACTTGGGATGCAGTGAAATCACAGAAGAAGCAAGAAAACTAGGTTGAATTTTGTCGAAGCCCCCGGAGAATCGAAATGTAACCTACAAAGCGCTGAGCGGTTTCTACGATGAGGGGGACCAGACAGGAAATTACGTCTCCGGACATCCGCTTGAGCACTCCATAGAACGGTCCGGGGAGAACGGAGAGGGCAACGACGCTCTTGACTTGGCTACGTTAGAGTTCAGAGGTCAAAAGGAAGAACGACTTCCGCGTTTGGAAGCGACATGCTTTCAAAAGAAGCAATACGTAGCGCGCGACGCATTGAATAATATACAAAAAATAAAAAAAAAAAAAAATTGCTCACACTCGCAGAAATATCGACTTTTTAAGGAAACCAGGGAATTTTTATCAAAATTCATGTATTACGGAATCTTATCACATTTCAAATCTTTTTGAAAAAAAAATCTCTTTCACTAACTTAAATTTAGAAATAATATATAGAAAATCAAAGTTTGCTGTTTTTTCTCTAACGAAAGTATTTCCTCCATATTGGATACGCCATTTTGAATTTTGGTACTCTACACAGGAAATGAAAAGTGTTGTTTTAACCTGAATTCGGGTGAAAACAACACTTTTCATTTCCTGTGTAATTATGACGCGCTCTGAAAAAGACCAAAGGACCTAAGAAACAAAATTGTTTTTAATATATTTGTAAATTTGAAGAATGAAAATAAAGGGCCCTTTTCCCAAGGGGCCGTTACATTACCCCCCCCCTTAAGGACCGTTACGATACGTAAAAATATAGGTCACAGTTGACCCATTTTTTAACTTACAGGTCAAAAAGTGGTCCCATAAAGCCCCACCCCCCCGGAGGGGCCTTTACATTACTTCAAAATTCAAATCATTGCAAAAGCGGTTAAGCGCCAAAATTTGAAATAAATTTATTTACACGTTTCCATTTAAAAAGATTTTTTTCTAAATTGTATTTTTAAATTCGTTTTTAAATTCGTTTTTTTTTAATATTTTGAAGTAAATTTACATTATTCACATATTTTAACATGTTTTTTAACAAAGATTTTTTCTGATAATTTTTGTAAAGTAAAAACACTATCGGTTACTTAACCTTCGTTCTTGCTGTAGATAAGTTATTATTTATTACTCTTTTGCTATCTATATAATTGTCCAAGTATTTTTCTGTCAATCTTATAAAAGTCAAATTACTACGAAGTAACTTACATTTGTAAATGTAACAATATTTAGAGAGTTGTATAATTATAAAGGCTCAAAATTTTTAATTAAAAAAAAGTCAAAATGCCACAATTTCTACGTGTGAATTTTATATTCATTTTGTTAATAATATTCATTATTGACTATACCTATGTAAATGCAAGTAAGTTTAATTTTCTAATTTCCTTCAGAAAGTTGATATATTCTTAGAATTCATTTCATAAAAGTTTTTCGCAAAAATATTATATACATACCTATATAAAATTATATTAATAAAAATAATTATAATAATGTGAAAAGTTGAATTTACAAAAAAAAATTTCCATTTTAAGTTTTACTGAAAAATTATAATTTATTTCCAATCCTTTTTTCCCCTATGAAAATATAAATCCAAAAGGTTTTTTAAAATACTCCTCATCATTTATTTTTTCTATTTATAAAAGAATAATAAATTAAAAATTTTCAGTTAATTCAATTATTTAAATACAAAAACAAATAATTATTGAATAATTGTATGTTTCTTAAAATTCAATTATTCTCATAAAGAATTTTATCAAGGAATTTTTAAATAATTGAATTCTTTTGACAAATTTTAATAAAATATTTCAGAATAATTGCACTTTTCGAGAAATTCGATTAAAAATGTATTAAAAATATTTGAAATTCTGCGATGAGTTTTATTATTTGTGAAAATAATTGAATCCCTAAGAAGAATTTTATTATTTTTAACTAAAATTCCTTTAATTATTATTTTTAATAATTACGAATATAATTGAATGCCTGTAAAAATTTTATTAAAATAGTAGATATTAAAAAACATAGAATTGGGGAAATTTTTTGAAAATTATTGAAATTTTGCAAAGAATTTAAATAAAGAATTTGTAAATAATTGAATTTTTATGATGTTTTTATTATTTATGAAAATAATTGAATTATCGTGAAGAAATTTATAAAAAAATTTGTAAATTATTGAATTCCTGTGAAAATTTTATTATTTATGAAAACAATTTAATGTTTTCGTAGAAATTTATCAAAATTTTTTTTAAATAATTGAATTATTTTGGAACAATTTATTAAAATAATAAAATATTAAAAATCATTCAATTGAGGGAAATTTTTGAAAATAATTGAAATTTTGTCAAGAATTTTATTATTTTTGAAAATAATTGAATTTCGGAGATGAATTTTAATATTTCTAAAGATAATTGAATTAGTGACGAGAATTTATTAAAATTTTTGAAAATAATTGAATTATTGCGAAGAAATTTATAAAAAATTTGTAAATAATTGAATTCCTGTGAAAATTTTATTATTCATAAAAATAATTAAATGTTTGCGTAGAATTTCATTAAAATTTTTTCCAATAATTGAATTCTTTTGGAAAATTTTTTAAAATAATAAATATTGAAAATCATTAAATTGAGGAAAATTTGTTGAAAATAATTGAAATTTTGACAAGAATTTTATTATTTTTGAAAATAATTGAATTCCTGAGTAATTTGGCCAAGAATTTTATTAAAATTTGTAAAAATAATTGAATTTCGTAGAAGAATTTTATTATTTATATAAATAATAATTGAATTCTTGCAACGAATTTTAGTAAAGTTTATAAAAATAATTTAATTTCGGTGAAGAATTTTAATATTTATAAAAATAATTGAATTCTTGGAAAGAACCTTGTTAAAATTTTTTAAATAATATTGAATTCTTGCGACGAATTTTATAAAAATCTTTTTAAATATTTAATGTTTTTGGAAAAATTTTTCGAAATTTTGTAGTTTAAATAATTGAATTCCTATAAAATTTTAATTACTTATGAAAATAATTGAATTATTTCGAAAAAAATTTAATAAAAATTTTGTAAATAATTGAATTCCAGTGAAATTTTGCCAATAAGAATTTTATTAAAATTTTTGAAAATAATTGTATTTTGGAGAAGAATTTAATTATTTCTAAAAATAATTGAAATTTTCACGAGAATTTATTAAAATTTTTGAACATATAATTGAATTTTTCAGAAGAAATTTATTACTTTTGAAAATAATAGATTTTCTGCAATCATTTGTAATTTCTCTAAAATTCTCCATATTATATTGAACAATTCCTTTTTCTATCAAATTACGGACTTTATGGACCTTTTTTTAAAAAAACTTATTTTTACCGACTGGATGCAAAACGGACCTAGTTCGAGTCCTGTGAGAGTGAAAAAACAATATGTCAAAATGAACATTCTAGAGTTTAAGTTATTTTTCAAAATAACCTTTACCTTTTTATAACGTTCATAATTTTATTTTATTGTCAAATGTAGGCTTTTCTGGATCTACCTTAAGATGTCCGGAAAACAAGAATGGAATGTGTAAATTAAATTGCAATAAGTCTAGCGACAAAGCGGATGGTATTAAAGGATGTAGTAAAAATCGGATGGGAAACGCAATGACTTGTTGTGTTGCACTCGGCTGAGGGTAATGTTTAAAAGAAAATATATTTATAAAAGACAAATAATGAAATGTTAATTGATCATATCAATCATTATTATAGCGTAAAAATGAAAAATAAAATTTATATGGGAAAAACAAAATAAAATTTTTCTAGCAACCTTGAATTTACCTCAATTTTTGGATTACTGATCATGAATTTAATATGTTGAGTTTTCAGTTTTTACAACGATTTTAAATATCCACGAGAAACAAATTTTAGGAAAATCCATTTAATATTTATTAAAATTCCATTCGCCGAAGGTCTACCTACATATATATATAGGTCAGTCGATTCGTTTCAAAGCCGAGGAAACAATTTTTCAAAAAACTCAATTAAAATTTTGAATTGAAAAAAGGTTTCATATAAAAAAAGTTTAAATAATTTACCAATTTTCCAAATAACAATTTTTTAGAAAAATGGTTACAATATATTTTTTATCTCTGGTTTATTAATTCGTATAAATGCAGTGCATACCTATACGGATTATTCATACAACGAAAATTTAATTAACATGTAAAGCTACTGTTTTTTTTTGTTGAAAAAATATCAATTTTTGAATATAGTTTGTAAAAAAGAATTTTAGAATTTAAACTATTATAAATATAAATAGCTAACCGAGTTCTTTTTTAATACTTTGAAATTAAAAGTTTAATAATTAACTTTTTTTTTCCGTATGCGATAAAAAATTTAAACCTAGAAAACTTTGGCGTTAACGTTTTAGTGTCGAAAGATTCCCTAATGCTGTCGCTTTCAATAGACTCAAAGTCTGGTTAAAGTTTCTAATAGAAACTTTTTTTATGATTACGTTCAAAGTGAGGATTTAAGTTCCCAGTTTCCAATGGCAGTAAGGGATCATCATTTCGATGTAAAAACTTTTATTCAAAGAGTTTAAATCAATCAACAAATTCAATACGGTGGAAAATTAATGGTATCGAGAGAGAGAGAGAGATCAGATATAATTTTTCAAAAAGAATTGCATTTTAACAAAAAAAAAAGAGAGAAAAGAAGTCCGATAAGATATGTGTGTTAAGAGAGAGAGTTGAAAGGATGGAGGTTGAATTTGAAGATTTCCTTTATCTGAAATGGTTTTTGGTGAGGGATTTTAAGCAGCATTGCACCAACAATCGAGACATTCAAGGCTCTAAACGCTTCCGGACAAAAGCGAGCACGTCACATCGAAAATGTTCCACTCACCTTGGATTTCCACGGAGTGCGGCATGGTGCAGAGCGTTGAAGCCATTGTTGTTTGTAAGGGTGATGTCTGCTGCATGGTCCAACAACAGAGCCAGCATGTCATCTCGTTTCTTGGAGATTGCGTCGTGCAGCGGAGTGTCTCCTTCTGAGTCCTGTGTGTGAAAAAGAAGAATTTATTCTCTTTTTTTTTCATTCTCTTTAAAATGCTTTCTTGCATCTTTCGCGACATTTTCTTCTAACAATGAAAAGCAACGAACAATGAATTTGACATAAATACAGATTTTTTTTCCACCCTTTCCTTTCCTTTCCATTTTTATTATTACGAAATGCTAGATATGATATAAGTTGTGATGCAGAAAATTTTAAGGGTGTTAAAACAAGAAGGTTTAGTAGGATTATTTAACTGGTTTGAAAATTTATACGCGCTTTAAACGCTTTTTACGTCCTTTTTTTCAATTTTGTCACCTTTTTCACCTTCTTTTAATGATTTGTCACCTTTTCTCCCTTGTTTTGCTGATTTAACCCCTTTTTCTAATCAAACATTTCTTACCACTGAATAACATGACCATAATAGTATATTGTGCAACAAGTACAGAAAGAAGCTGTTTTCCGACGAGTGCAAAGTTTGCTGTCCCGAGCGAAGCGAGGGCAGCAATTTGCACGAAGTCGGAAAATCTTCTTTCGTACGTGTTGCACACAGTACTTTGTGCAACACCTTTTGGTTTTGATAAAAAAAGCTGTTTGAAAACGCTAGTTGACGCCAATATACGTACTGTTTAGCAGGGTTTGGAACGTATGTTACCGCACGTAATATAGGTGGTTTTCTACGCGTATATTACTGTAAAAAACAGGTATTCTACAAATAGAAAACAAATATCTATGTATATCACCAAAAAAAACCCAAAAGTTTAAGAACTTTGCCGCACAAGTGCAACAAAGTAAGCACTTTGCCGCACTAGTGCAGCAAAGTACTGTTTTGCGCCTACTTTACAGGCATGCAAAGTATTACTTTCCTTACAGGTGTTGCACAAAATAATTTTTTACATTTATCTGTACAACAATAACATGAAAAAAAGAAACTATTATTTCGGATAATGGAGGTTACACTTTAAGTACAAAATCCTAATAAAAAATACCTACAATATTAGTAGGAAGAGAATACTAAATTTGGATTTCAATATTCGTACTAATAAAAAAATTTTATAATAATTTGGGTCCATTTAATGTTTCCAATTCTTCTTGTTTTCAAAAGTTATGGCAGCTAGCACCAAATGTCCAGAAAACAAAAAAGGATATTGTAGATTATATTGTGAAAGTAATTCTAAAAATATTGGTAGAAAAGGATGTGGTAAAAATGTAGTAGAATCCCCAATGACTTGTTGTGTTTCTTTAGACAAACAGTGGGTAATTTTGAAAAGAAAATTTGCTTCTGAAAGGCAAATAATAAAATATTAAGTGGCCACATCAATAATTTAGATGTAAAAATGAAAAATAAACTTTATGTAGCAAAAAATAAAAGTTTTGAATATAGATTAAAAAGTACTAACTTTATTACAGGAATAAAACAAAAAGCAAAACATAAGCAGACTTCGCACTCGATAATTAATTTTTAAAAAGTAGTTTTCAAACTAAAAAAAAAGTAGCTATCGAAAAATTAAACTTGACGATCAAAAAAACTCGTTTTAGACACTTCACAAAACTGAGAAAAATTCCATTCTAAATTTTATTTTCCTGACTTTTGCCTAAATTTCATCAAAAATATTTACTTTTTTCTCATCCTGCAAATAAATAATTTTTTAGCAGAATAAGAAAGACCTGCAACGAATTTTATTATCCATGAAAGAATTTAAATATTTATGAATTTAAAAAAATTCTAGTCAAAATTTCAATTATCTTTATAAATAATAAAATTCTTCACCGAGATTCAATTATTTTCAAGAGATTCTATTAAAATTCTTGTCAAAATTTTAATTATTTTCAAAAATTTCCCTTAATTCTATTACATTTTCAATATCTACTATTTTAATAAAATTTTCTAAAAGAATTCAATTATTAAAAAAAAAAATCTTTAAGAACATTCATCGCAAACATTTCATGAATTTCATAAATAAAAAAAATTTCACAGGAATTAAATTATTTACAAATTTTTTTGATAGAATTCTTCATTAGAATTCAATTTTGAGAAATTATTTTGAAAAATAATAAAATTCTTCGCAGAAATTCAAAAATATTAAAAAATTTTTGGCAAAATTTCAATTTATTTATAAAAATAATTTAATTCTTGCGAAGAATTTTATAAAATTTTTTAAATAATTGATTACTTTCGACTAATTTTATGCGAATTCTAATTATCAACAATTGAATTCCTGAGAAATCTATTATTCATGAAAAAAATTGAATTCTTACGAAGATCTTTTCCAAAAATTTTTTAAATAATTGAATTCTGTTTGGAAATTTTATGAAAATAGTAGATATTGGAAATCATTGAATTGCAAAAAGTTTTTAAAAATAATTAAATTTTACAAAGAATTCTAGTCAAATTTTCGGAAATAATTGAACGTCTATGTCGTATTTTATTAAATTATTTTTAAAATAATTGAATTCTTAAAAAGTATTTTATTATTTATGAAAATAATTCAATTCTAAAACGATTTCATTAGAATTTTTTTAAATAATTGAATTTCCAAGAAGAAATTTATTATTTTTAAAAATAATTGAATTCTTGTAATGAAAATTTTTTTTTTTGGAAAATAATTGAATTTTGCAAAGAATTTTATTAAAATTCCTGAAAATAATTGAATTTTTGGGAATAATTTTGTTATTTATCTTTTATAATTTAATTCTTTCGAAGAATTATTTATGTAAATAATTGAATTCTTGGGAAGAATTTTATTAAAATCTAAAAGAATAATTGAATTATTTCAAAAAAAATTTAATTAAAATTGTAATTAAAATAATTTATTTCTTTCAAACAATTATATTAAAATATTTGAAAATATGAAATATGAAAATGAATTCCTGTGAAACATTATAATATTTTTATAAATCATTGAATTCTTCCAAAGAATTTAAAAAAAAACATTTTTTTTAATAATTTATTGTTTCGTGGAATTGAAATTAAATTTTTAAGAATAATCACATTTTTTGAGCAATTCTTGTAAAATTTTATTAAAAATAATTGAAATCCTGCGATGAATTTCATTATTTATAAAAATAATTGAATAGTTCCTAGGAATTTTATTAAATTTTTCAAAAATAATTGAATTCCTGAGAAGAATTTTATTATATTTATGAAAGTAATTGAATTATTGCGAAAAAATTTTATTCAAATGTTTTTAAAAGAATTGAATTTCTGTAAAAAATTTTGCTATTTTTAAAAATAATTGAATTCTTTGCAAGAATTTGATAAACATTGTTTTAAAAAATTAATTTTTTCGAAATATAATAAATATTAGGAAAATTTTATTTTAAATAATTGAATTATTGTGGAAAGCTTTATTTATCAAAATAATTGAATTTTTCGATTCAATAAGTTAAAATAGTATTAAAAATAATTGAAATTCTTCGATGAGTTTTATTATTTATGGAAATAATTGAATTCCTGCTTAGAATTTTATCGAAATTTTTATTAAAAAATTGAATTCCATAAAAAATGTTATTATTAATGAAAGTAATTGAATTATTGTGAAGAATTATATAAAAATTTTGTTAAATAATTGATTTTTCAATTTTTTTTAAAAATGCCTTTCTAAATTAACTGAATTCGCGTGGAAAGAATGGTGCTGAAAAAGGGCCAAATATTATTTATGAAAATAATTGAATTTTGAATGAATTTAATCAATTTTTTTTAAATAATTGAATTCTTTTGCGAAGTTTTATGAAAATAATAGTTATTGAAAATAATTAAATCGTTTTAAAGAATTTGATTATATTTTTTGAAAATAGTTTTTTGATTTCTAGTATTAGCAAATTTAAAGTAGTGAAAATTCTAAGAAAAAACATAAATAGTAGCTTTTAGTGGCTGAAATTTAGAAAAAGTACCCAAATAGTAGCATAAACGTAAAAAAAATAGTAAATATAGTAGGTTTTAGTAGCTAATATGCAAAAATATCAACGTCAAAAACTTAAATAATAAACGAAAAAAAACTAAGAGACATTATTTTAAAAATTAATATTTTAAATTGAATTATTATTTTTTTCACACATTTTTTTTGTCTCTCTTTTTTTGAATGAAAAGTTAAAATTACAGCCAACTCGCATATTTTCATGAGAAAGGGGAAATATCGTAAACATGGAGTTCATGCATCATGTGGAAGAGACACATAAACTGTCACTGTACATCATGGAGTCTCGTAAAGCAAACAGAAAATACGAAAAATGTAAACAGATCTCCACATGTACAAATTTTAATGAAATTGATCCTGTACGCAATTTTAATTTAAAACAAAAAAATTTCACATCCGTTTTCATAAGAGTATTATTTACGAAATTTCATTTAATTTAGTTATTGACATGTGAACCATAGATTTGATTCAGTGTCTCAAAAAATACTATAAATTGTAAAAAAAATGACGTATTTAGTAAAACAAATGGAAAAAATTATAATTGATTTACTTCTAAAAATTTAAACATACTTTCGAAATTCATGGAACTACATTCAGAATTTTGTTTTTGCTTTTCTAAAAATTTGATTGACTATAAAAATTGAGTGACCTAAAAATTCATTGACCAAAATGCTCCTCACAATTCAAATAAATTTCGTATAGAGTCAAGAATAAAATAAAATTTAACTAAAAAAAAATACGTTTAATTTGCGTTTTAAAAAAAATATTTTTCCATTTTCCTATAGCTTCTATGCAAGGTTAATAAAGCTTTCTATTTTCCTAACCGCAACATTGAATTGACTATTGTTCGTTTTGCTAATCTGATAAAGGATTTATAATCGGTGACCTCAAAAACCTTTTGATTCCAATTTTCATATGGAAATAAGGGGGCTTTGAAATTTTTCTATTTGCCATCTGAATCTACATATTTCTGATTTCTGTAAATGCAGTAGCAATGCTTTTTTAAATATCTACTATAATTTAATATTTTCCTTTTACAAATCTACAAAATGTTTTACCATTTTTAAAAAAAATATTACATACAAAAA